CATCAAAATCGTCAAGAAGCCTACTCTCTTGCTCTGGCCTTCACCTATTGTGATGCGCTGGTGCCCTACTGCGGTGGTCTCGGCTTACGGTTCTTCACGGACTCTAGGACGGCTTTATCCTGGCTTCGAGGAGGAGATCGGCTGACTTGCAAATCTATCGAAAGAGCCGCCGTTTCGAGGCTATGCGAGGCCGTCTCGGACATGCGGGATGCTTGGGATCGGCAATATGGCATTCGGCCCCATATGAGCCATCTACCAGGGGAACAAAATGATGCACAGGCCGATGCGCTGAGTCGGTTGGCCGAGGCGTGGAAAATCCCAAAGTCCATTATTTTCGACGGTCGTCCCGTCTCAGTGTCATTTCGGGGCGAGTCAAACTCCCCGGAAAATCAGGGGGGCATGCCCGACGATGACGACGAGCTCACTCGTGCCCTGTATGCTCTGCCATACAGGAGAGATGGCCTACCTAGGAGCTCGCAGGTGGTCAGCGCCGCCATCGGCCGGCCCTACCGACAGGAGCTTCTGCAAATCCAGCGTGACTCCCCAAAGGCCAGCGGTTTAATTGCTCAGCTGGAGACCAGCGGGGTCGACCACAAGGACTATCGGCTCGATGAGGATGGGGTTCTGATGAAGTACTCTGGCACGACCCGAGTCAACGGATTGCTCGTCCCTCGCTTACGGTTCTATATCCCGGACGATACTGAAGCTGCGTCAATATATGCTAAGGGCCTCCTCGAGAAGTACCATGCCGACTCGGCATTGCCGAGTCCGGGTGCCTCAACGATAGGTATCTAAGGTGGATATTCTCGAGGACGTTCGCGCTCGCGGGGGTGCATGGACTAGCTTAAGAGGTTTGTCGTTCTTGTTCCGCCTGTCAGCTTGCGGCGAACAGGCGTTACTTCCCGAAAGGAGATGGCAACAGATCGCTTTATTATGGAATCCAAGCCTGCTGGGAGGTCGTGTCCGCCGACCTCGCGGAGATGGGACTTGATAAGCGGAAGATGTACGCCTCAGCGTTGTTATTGGTCGATCATTTCAGCCGGGTTTGCTGTGGTGGTGCCCC